AAAACGAATTAAGTCCCCATCTAGGACTGTCCTCTTTAGTCTAAATTTCTCAATTATACCCTACTGATAATTGAGCTCCAAGATTTCAGTTGCCCCTTCTTGATCTGGATTTTAGGTGTGTTCTCTAAGTCAGCTCTCTCATTTCTTCAAGCTGGTTTTCGGTTTTCCCACTCTGAAGTCCTGCTACTACCACACCCTATGTGTTCAGTAAGTTTATACCATTATTTTCACCACAAGATGCATAACTTCCATACCACCTTCTGCCTGGGCTGCAGTGTTGTAGGCACCAGAGTCTGCAGGCTTCTCCTGATGAAGGCCCTAACTTGCATGGATGGAGGCAGCCATTGTACAACATGGAAAGAGGTCCTTTGGTCATGTGTACACTAGACTATTGCAGACTTAGCTTCTGTAATTCCATTAATTTGCCTCTAGGGCGGGCCTCGTAATGTAGCAGAAGCTGTTAGTGTTAAATAGTCCTTGCCGACTGCCATAGCTGTTGAACTCTCTGCTCTCATTTTTGGAGAAGATTCATGAGCTGGAGACACAGATCGATGTTCCTAGAGTAAATGGAGATAGAAAAATAGGGATTCAACCTGGAGAAGCCTGATGGTACACCCTCCACTCTGGTCTCCCTGAGGGGCTTCATCTCTTTTTGGTACTGCTGCTACCATTTTCCAGGACAAAGGGACCTGTTTGTATTACAGAGTATGAGCAGCAGTGCTGAGCCTGGGAGAGGGAACAGGTGGGGGCGCTACTCCTGTTGTTTGACCCCGATCAGCTGTAACCATCAGACGAGTCTTATCTGGTAATACCCTGTTGATAACAAAATGTCCAGTTATTTTGCAGGCACAGAGCCAAGAAGTTGTAAAATCATGCCCCAAATGGTTAAAAAAACAAGTGACTAACAGGAATTATTGAGTTTATGGAATGGCAGATGAGAAAAAGAGACAACTTGCTAAAACTCTACTTGCAAGATAACAAAACTAGCTGAATTCGTTGAAAACAATGTGACCAAATGAAGACTGCACAAAACGAACTTGCTGATGTCACATTCTGAATATCCATCACACACAGCATACTAACTCTTCCCAGAGTTACACATGAAGAGGTATAAAGAGACAACTGCACATGCCAGGAGACTTTTCAGACCTCCCATTTTTACCAATTACCTGCTAATCCCAGAACTCATCCCCTAAACCTTTTCTAATGAATGTATTGCCTTAAAGCCAGCATGGAGAGATATATTTGAACCCCTTTTGTGATTGATTGGTTGTTGGTTATTTTAAAAAAAACAACCCAAATGCCCATTGACAATAGGCTGGACAAGGAAAATTTGGAACATATGCACCATGGAATATTATGCAGCCATAAAAAATATTGAGTTCGTGTTCTTTGCAGGGACATGGATGAATCTAGTAACCATCATTCTCAGCAAACTGACACAAGAACAGAAAATCAAACATCAAATATTCTCACTTATAGGCGGGTGTTGAACAATGAGAACACAGGTTTTGAACAGGTAGAGAATCACAGCTGATATGCATGGGGCCTGGTGCTCTGGCTCTGGGTGAAAGCACAGACAGATGCTCAGGCTGCCTCAAACTCATAAGATCCCTAGCCTTTGGCCATAACCAGGGGCCACAGAGAAGAGCTAAACTGAGGAACAGAGAGGAGGTGGTAGCAACAGGGAGGGAAGCATCACACACTGGGTCTGTCGGAGGGGTCCAAGGGAGGGACAGCAGTGGGGGGTGGTGGGGAGGTTGGGGAGGGATAACATGGGGAGAAATGCCAGATGTGAGTGACAGGAGAATAGGGGCAACAAACCACATCACCATGTGTGTACCTATGCAACAGTCCTGCATGATCTGCACATGTACCCCAGAACATAAAGTACAATAAAGAAAAAGAATAGAAAAAAAAAAAAAAAACAATGTCTACCCAGATAATAGAGTTCCTTGAAATCAAATGAATTCATGAAGATTTTTTTGGGGCGGGTTGGAGGAATAGGATCTTGCTCTTGTCCAGTCTGGAGTGCAATGGTACAATCACATTTCACTGCAGCCTCAACTGCCTAGGCTAGAGTGATCCTCTCACTTCAGCTTCTGGAATAGCTGGGACCACAAACACATGCCACTATGCCTGGATAATTATTTTTTGTAGAGACCATGTCTCTCTAGATTGGCAAGCTGTTCTTGAACTCTTACACTAAAGAAATCCTTTTGCCTCAACTTCCCAAAGTGCTGAGATTACAGGTGTGAACCACTGTGCCCCTCTCATGAAGAAGTTTTGAATTTCAATGGCTTCATTTTCATAATAATGCGGCTATACTTTGATTATCCTCTCTAATAACTTGGAGGAACATTCATAATGTCACTCTAGCACTTGAGCCAGAGAGCTACATTTATATAAGTTTGGGGTAAGGAAGAAAATAGCATCCTAGGCAACATTAGCTTTTAAGATTTTCTCGTGATTTCATTCTCAACATATTAAGTATTAATGCCTGTTATCACCTTTGAGAGGTAGCCCTTTTGTTTCATCCCATTGCATTCATGAGAGCCAGCTACACTTTTAATACATTGGAGAAGACTGACTCACCGAATTATAGTGACATGTTTAGTTTGTACTTTGCCATGCATTTTCATCTCATCATTACTGCTATTACATAGCTGCAAAGTTGACTTCCTTAAAGGTCTTATCTTTCCTAGTTTAGAGAGTCGTGATTCAGGCATAGATCAAGGGAGAAAAGGGAACAACATAGTCAAGTATTTTCTCTAATATCTTTTTTTCTGTTGTGATAAAGGAAGGGTCCAAATTGGTAAAGAGTTTTCAACCTGCTCCCTGCCAAGTAGAAGATCATTTTACTAGCTTCCTTCAGACTTCTCTCCAGATTAACCCACAATACTATATGGTTCTTATTTGGGGCCAGATGAGTGCTTGCTACTGATTCATTCAGCGTTGTTTTTTGTTTGTTTGTTTGTTTTTTCCAGATTGAATATTTATCTGGCCAATATTTTTTAAATTTTGCATTATTATTAGGTTGAGGCTTTCTTCACTTTGGGCACAGGACATTTTATTTTTGGGGGTTTATTTCAGAGGCTACCATGATAGAGGAACAAGTTTTAAATGTTTTTTGTGTTGCCATTATCTTCAAGGCCAGAGAAACCTAAAGCTTGATGATTTTATACCTCTAGAAATCAGAATCATTTCAGTATAATCCTAGGTGCATTCTGATTTGTCCTTCAATGCTAAAAAGTTCAAAATCCAAGAGCAGTTGGGATGCAAAAGAAAATTGTGCCCTCCTCTTTCCCTGTTTAGGAATCACAACACTAAATACCACTTTAAAGAGTCTTTTTATTGGTAGAGAGATCTATCATATACTAGAAATTTTCAAATTTCCTTTTCAAAACACATGACTATGAATAACAAAGGTAAGCAAATAAAATCTTAGTTTGAATCAGTCATGAGTCAGACCTAAGTAAAGCAATATATTTTTCATATTGTGAAACAATATTCTCAATCCAGAATTTGGTGACAGGTATTTCTCTTATTGAAACATACTAGTTCAGGTTGAATGTCACACTGTAGTCATGTTCTAATCTAGAACCTTATGTAACTGAAACCGTTTATCCCCTTGTGTCTGGCTTTTTTCATTCTGCATAGTGATTTCAGATTCATTGTGTGTGTGCGTGTGTGTGTGTAAGTAGACCTCTCCTTTCTATCCATGAGTAGAATTCCAGTGGATCAATATGTCACAGTGTATCCAGTCTCCTAATGGTGACATCTGGAGTACTCCAGCCTTTTGCCATTATGAATAAAGCAGCTTTGTACAGTTTTGTCTGTCTTCTTACATGTCCTCATTTCCACTGGATAAAAATCTTAGAAATGGCATTGCTCAGTCACCAGGTAACTAGGATATGTTAACAAGATACTGCCGGTTTTTTAAGAGCTTGTGACATTTTACCTTTAGCAAAGTGTATATGTGAACTTTGATCCGTATCTTTCTAATATCTGGTATTATCAGGTTGTCTTATTGTTTTTCATAAAACTAATAGTTGAATACGAAATCACAAACAGACTTAATGTAGTTTGTAATTAAAAGAGTTTAGCTATTTATGTAGTAAAGTTTTATTTATACTTTTTAAAGGATAATTTCCAACAAATAGGTAAAATATTATGACATATGTAAACATAAAATGAACATATCTCTAATAATTTATTTGATTACTGAGAAAATCAATAAGATGTTACAACCAGTTCACAGGAAAAATTTAAAAACCATGCACATATATAGGCCAAAAATTTATAAATAAATGCAAAACTGGATTTTTTAATGAGGGTAGGTTAGGAAGAATCTATTGTTTTTCTGCTGAACGAAGGTTATTTCTATGACTGTATTATAAATTAATAAAAATTACTTGCATTGCTATTATCTATAACATACATAATTGTAAATTGCTTGAAAACAATTATATAGTGTCCTGAAATCAGATAAGCTTTAAGCATATATTCCAACCAACGCATGTCTTTCTTGTGGTTGTTGAAGACATTCAGTAATTTTTTGATTCATTACAAAGTCTTCCATAATTTTTTTCTGCATCCTATTCTTAGCGTTAAAATGATCTGTTTGCAATTCAAGAGATAAAAATACCTACTTGCCAGTTCTGTGTGTGTGTGTGTGTGTGAGAGAGAGAGAGAGAGAGAGAGAAGGAGAGAGCAAGAGAGAGAGCAAGAGCGCACGTCATTAGGAAACATACCTACTATTCTTTTTGAACTGAGATCTGATATGGTTTGGCTCTGCATCCCCACCCAAATCTCATGTTGAATTATAATCTCCATATGGTCAGTGGCCTGGTGGGAGGTGATTGATCCAGCCTTTAGGGCAGGCTTCCCCCTTGCTGCTATTATGATAGAGTTCTCATTAGATCAGGTTGTTTGATAAGTGTCTGGCACTTCCTCCTTCTTTCTCACTCTCTCCTACCACCATGTAAGAGGAATCTTGCTTCCTCTTTGCCTTCTGCCATAATTGTAAGTTTCCTGAGACCTTTCTAGCCATGAAAAGCTGTGAATCAGTTAAACCTCTTTTGTTTATAAATGACCCAGTCTCAGTAGTTCTTTATATCAATGTAAAAATGGACAAAAACAATGTCATACTAATTCCTGTAGAAGTTAGGCACCATATCAGGTAGTATATAAACATTTTTTTCTCATTTTATTAATATTCAGAAAATACTTATAAAGAAATTGTATATCATACTCACGGAGAAAGACTCACATATTCCCTTAACAGAATCAGAACTATTGTTAGGGAATTTTAGCAAAATGCAATATCTATAATTTGACAATTTACAAAAGTGATTAATTACATCCATGACCAGTTCTCATTCATCCTTGTCCAGGACAGTTATGGAACTTCAAGGAGACAGCTATTTGTGACTACATCAACTTCATGCTTGAAGAAAGTTTTTATTTTTTTGGCTTTAAAGATACCATGCTTATTGGAGAGACTATATCACTATTCCCTGAGTTATCCATATAGACTTAGCCTCCGAATGACAAGATACGGTAAGAGCCTTTTAAATGTGTACCACCTATGTAGAGAAGGAGAGGAGTTATAATAAATAAACTAATGAACACTTCAGGCTACCTGAAGTGTTACTTGTAGTTTGGAGTTAGCTTAGAGAGGAAAGAGACATGCTATGAAGTTAGATAATTATCTTTTGGTTTACCCCTAATTAACTCATCAATGTAATCATTTACTGCTGGTTGTAATATTGGATGGATAACTTATAATTTACTCAATCATTCAATATAATTTCATTGTGATTCTGCTAAATGCTAGCTACAGTTTTAAGTATTGGGGAAATGAAAAATATAGTGTTCTTAAAAACAGCTTGTCAGAGGAGATGGACAAGTTTAAAATTTTTGCTAAAATGTAATATGAGTTAAAATAAAAATTATTTTCTCAAATAGTGATGTTAGTTTTAAATGAAGTATAAATTATGTGCTTAATTCTCTTTGAAAAACAGATGGTTTAACTTTGAAAAAAAAACACTAAGTTTAAATTTAAGTAAATTAATCTATTTAAGTAATACCTTCTTTGGCATGCTAGAATAGACTGAAATTATTATTCAACATTTAAAAAAATAAAATTTTAAACAAAATATTTTGTCATAATGTGCATACAAATGTATTTGTAAAAACATTACAAGAGATTCTGTGCCTTGCCCACTTTCTCCCAGTGATATCATCTTGAAACCTATACTACAATAGGACAATCAGGATGTTGACATCGATATAGTCAAGATACTGAAGTGTCTATCATCATAAGGATACTTACTGTTGCCCTTTTAAGGACATACCCACCTCACAATGCCCTATCTCTGACCTCTGGCAACCACTAATCTGTTCTCTATTTCTATAATTGTACCATTTCAAGAATGTTTCATAAATGGAATCATACAGGATTTGAGCATTTGGGAGTGGCTTTTTTACTCCACCCTATTATCTGGAAATTGATCCACTTTGTTGTGTTTATCAATAGTACATTTGTTATTATTGCTGGGTATTATTCCATGGTATGTATTGTGTAAGCTTTCACCTGTTGAAGGGCATCTGTGTTGTTTCCAATTTGGGGTCAGTATGAATAAAGCTGCTATGAATATTCATGTGCAGATTGTTTGTGTGTAGAAATACATTTTTATTTCTCTGAAACAGTGCACAAGAGTACATTTAGCTGGGTCATATGGTAGTTGCATGCTTTATTTTACAAGAAACGTTCAAGTTGTTTCTGGAGTGCCCTTATCATCTCACTTTCCTTTCACTAATATATGAGTACTACAATTTCTCCATCTCCCAAAAGCATTTGGTGGTGTTATTATATTTTATTTTAGCTATTTTGATAGCAGTGTATTGATAGTCCATTGTGATTTTTATTTCCATTGCCCTAATAGCTGATGATATTGAATATATTTTCATGCACAGATTTACTATCTATATATCTTCTTTGGAAAAAGAAAATGTCTGTTCATGTTTTTTGCCTATTTTCTAATTTGATTTTTTTTTACTGTTAAGTTTTGGGAGTTCCTTATATATTACTGATATGAGTCCTTTCTCAGATAATAGGGTTTGCAAATATTTTCTCTGTAGGTTGCCATTTCATCCTTTAGAATGAAGTTTTTCAGAATAATTTTTAAAAATTTTAATGAGGACCAATTTATTAATTTTTATTTATATGGACTGTACTTTTGGAGTCAAATCTAAGAAATCTTTGCCTGGCACTAGATCCGAAAGATTTTCTCTAGGCATGAATGATTCAGGAAAAGCTATTACTCTCGGATTTGTGTCATGTCCTTCTAGCTTTGTAAAGTGCCATGCAAAGTTAAAAATAGTTAGTATTAAAGGTAAATTATGGGGCACCAAAAGTCTACGCTATTCTTTGTTTTTCTGACGTTGCTACTTTACTTTAAATGTATATATATTTGAGATGGACAATTTGTATGCTGTTCATAGTGTAATGGCATGACTTAAAACTCAAGAATGGATATAGAGTTTTACTGAATTTTTTTGGAATACATAATACCTGTTTTCTTCATATATGATTTCATGAAGTATGGCATTTCTAAAACCATGGTGACTTTGTAATCATCCTAAAAGTAATCCTCTGGGATAGAATATAATTATTTTAACACAGTGCTTCAGTTTATTTGCTGGTATTTGTTTCATGGTTGTTACTTGTTTACATGTAACATTAATCTGAAGTTTCTTTTTCCTCTGCGGTTTTTGTTGTTGTAGTTATTTCTGCTGACAGTTTAATTGTAGATTCATAAAATTAATATAAAATGTCTTTATTTTAGATTTTGAAAATAATTTAAAAGGGTAAAAGTTTTGTTTGTTTGTTTAAACTCTTCAAGGCTCAGATGTAACTTACTCATGAAACTACTTGGAGATACACTATCTTGATATAAAAATCATAACATATTCTCATTTTCTTTATGAAAACTGATTTATTCAAATATATTAATCATTATATGTTAAATTTTGTTAGTGTTTGACTTTGTGAATTTGAACATTTTAGTGCCAAATTTTACATTTTACATATTTTATTTTATTAACGTATCCTCATAAAACTCTAAATGTAATTTTATAATCATTCTAGGTATAATTTTTCAAGTGGACTTCACATTCAGCATTTTATTATCAAAATATAGCTTATTGCATTACAGTAAAAAAATGCCACTGTCATTTATAATGCATTAAGCTTTCGATTTGCACAGTGCATAAATTATTTTTAATGTGATTTTTAATTCTCTATAATAAATGAAATGCCCTGTTTACAATGCCCCAAATTTAGAGAATTTTAATTAATAGAATATTCTTATGTATATAATTTTTAGATAAGTTTTCAGCATTCTATTGACTATAAATAATACCAATTCTTATCTGTTTTATAAATTCTCTGTTCTCCTGGATTACAGAGATCATACTTTTATTTTTTATATTTTAAACTTTAATTATATCTTTATTTTGACTAACATGTCAATAACTTCCATAATTTTTAAAAGTATTTTTCTCTAGGAATTCTACATGAGTGGTTTGGCAAACATTCTTGGTTGCTAATAAATACCTATACATACTTACTTCCATCTAAGTAAAGAAAAGATTTAGCAGGTAGGTATATTTGGTACTTTGTCCAATCTCCACTTCTCTGAACTTTGGATGTGATGTCTCAAAGTAGAATAGCCATCTTGTAACCATAGAGACTACAATAGTTTCCATGGATCACGAATCTGGGGCATGACTTAGTTGGGTGCCTACGTTCAAAATTTCTCATGAAATTGTGGTCACAGAGTTAACCTGGACTTCATTCTCATCCAGAGGCTCAACTGAGGGAGGATCCACTTCCGAGTTTACTCATGTTGTTAAATGAAACGAAAGGCCTTAGTTTCTCATTGACTCTTCCTCATGTGTGCTTCTCCATCAGAAAACTCTCAGCATGACAGCTGGCTTACTTCAGAGTGAATGAGAGAAAATTTCCAGATGGAAGCCAGTCTCTTTGTAATCTTATTTCAGAAGTGATGTCACATCATCTCAGTGACATTCCATTCACTCTAAGTCAGCAAGCCCAAACTACACACAAGAGGAGGGGATAGAAAAAAAGATACAATTTCTAGGAAGCTACCTTAGGAGGTGTCTCCAAAACATGACACCTCAAGCTGAGAATAACAGAGTGTCATTCCTTTAATCTTAAGGGGAAAACATTTAAAATTACCAATTATCTGTATCATTAGGTTCTCTCATAACTGCCATCAAGAAGTTTATACATTCATGCTACATAGATCACTTTTCATTGGTCTCTTTGGATCTTTAAGAATGTTTGAAGGATCATTAACTTAGTCCCTGATGGTATCACTGAGCAGCTGCATCAGTTCTGACATCCTACTTCTGGAATTATTATTATGTGATCCATACTGCTACACTTCTCTGGCCTCCTCAAAAAGAAAAAGACAATTTAATAGGCTTGATCAACCTCTGTAGTCAGCCTGAATGCAATGCTGAAGCGATACATGTGGCATATTCTCTGAGTTCTTCTACTACTGAGAGTATGATACATTACAATAACTAGATATGCTTCTTTCTTCCTCTTTTCCTCTCTTCCTTTCCTCCATTCTGCTTACTCCGTTTTTAATAATAGTCTAATTTATAATTTTGTATAAAGTCTGTAATAATTGCTTAAACAGATTTTATTTTAGTCCATTATTTGGTTTTTTACAGTATTAAAACTGCTGCTTAATATCTCTGCAAATAGTTTGGCTGAATGTGTTTGTGTTTTTATCTCTGCAAGTGCTTTTTCCAAAGCATTCATCTCAAATTATTTGTTTTTTTCTTTACAAATGTGATATATTTTCAAATTTTATGAAGAGTAAAAATTAAAATGTTAATTGTTTTTCCTCATTTGGGGTGTACTGTCTTTCTTAGGGCTCAAATTCCTTTGATTTTTAAGAAGAAAAGACTTGTGATACATTAATTTATCTTTTTTTTTTTAAAAAAAGATAGATGTTTATATTTATTCGTATTGGATCAAATGGATTCTTTTAGACACTGTACATGTTTTAGGTACATAAATTGAGGATACTATTGCATATCGGGGAGATTCACTGCTTTTGCAACAGTTTCTTTCTTGTTTCAGTGAGGGCTTTCAGAGTGCTCTTGCACATTGTATTATTTTCCTATGACTGTTGCAACAAATTACCACAAATTTGTTGACTTACAAAACAGACATTTGTTCTTTCTCAGTTCTAGAGGCCAGAAACGGTCTGAAGTCAGTGTCACTGGGCTGAAGTCAAGGTGTCAGCAGAGCTGCACTTTCTCCAGAGGTTTCAGGGCAGAAACTATTCGTTGCTTCTTTCACCTTCACAAACAAGGAATGCCAGCATTTGCATTTGGTTTGTGAGCATATTTCCCCAGTCTCTGCCTCCAAGATCACATTGCCTTCTCCTCTTGCGTGCGTTAAATCTCCTTCTGTCACCCTCTTATAAGGACTTTTGATTGCACATAGGCCCACCAATAGTCTAGGAATACTTTACTATCTCAAGTCACTTAATTTAATCACATCTGCAGTCTTTACCATATAAGGTGACATTCACAGGTTTTAGGAATTAGGACATGAGCATAGCTTTGGGAGCCATTATTTATCCTACTGTAGACACTGCAGCCTTTGTCCTAATATGCTCATTAGTACTCTGCTTTATTTACCATGTCGTTTCCATTCAAAATAGTTCCCAATTGCAACCACTGGTGGGCTCCTGAAGTTATATGATTCTCCTGCAACCTCCTTTTACTACTGCCTCATAGCCTTTCTTTACTTACAACAAATGCTGTTTTGAGCTTATAGGCTCAAATTATTTTTTGGGAAACCTCATGTGTTTATTTCCCAGTGCAGCTTTCCTTCACATGGTTTAAATTTCAAGTTGTATAATGACTTATTCATTAAACAATGCATATTGGCACTATTGGCATTATGCTTGTTCTAGATCCTACTCATGTTATATTTTACAAAAACTTTATCAAGTTTTCTGTGTGCTAATTAAAGCCCCTCAAGGTTTCCACTGATAGAGAGTATATAAAAAGCTTACCTCTATTTGAATTGGTTTTTGGTTATTTCATTGGTATGTATAAAGAGAAGGAAGCCGAATGCAAAACTGTGTATCACCATCCTTGAAACAGAAGAATGATCCATTTGTTAAAATAGGAAAACAGAATTAATAGGCATATAAAATATGAGACTAAGCCAATAATACTGACCTGAGAATTTTTGCTTAAGGGAACTGTCAGTCCAATAAACCTCTTTCTTTTGTTAAAGAAAAAAATTTAAGTTAAATTTGTATTTTGAATAATTTTAGATTTACAGAACAGTTACAAAGATAGCACAGAAAGTTTTCATACACCCTTTACCCAATTTCCCCTTGTTGCTAATATCTTACATCTCCCTGGTACATTTATCAAATTAAGAAACCAGTACTGATATACTACCATTAGTTTTTGGATTTCATGGCTTTTTCACGAATGTCCTCTTTCCATTCCAGGGTCCAGTTCAGGTTGCCATACTGCATTGTCTACCTCAACGTCTCTGATCTGGGACACTTTCTTGTCTTGCATTATTTTGTATAACCTTAATTGTCTTCAGAAGCACTCTGATGCCCAGGCTGGAGCGGTGCCATCTCTGCTCACTGAAGTCACCGCCTCCTGGATTCAAGTGATTCTCCTACCTCAGCCGCCAGAGTAGCTGGAACTACAGGCACACACCACCACGCCTGGTTATTTTTTTGTTTTTGTATTTTTAGTAAAGATGGGGTTTCACCATGTTGGCCAGACTGGTCTCAAACTCCTGATCCCTGGTGATCCACCGGCCTAAGTCTCCCAAAGTACTGGGATTACAGATGTGAGCCACCGTACCCAGCCTGGCATTATTTTTTTTAATGATTAGACTGGGTTTATTGTTTTATCTTGGAATATTACCAAGGTAAAGATCCCTTCACATTACATTATAGCAGACATTTGATAGTGTCCACATGACATCACAGATACTGTTAATCTCCTTCACTAGGTGAAATTGTCAGTCAGATTTATCTACTGTAAAGTTAGTTACTTTATTCCCTTTTTCTACAAGTTTTTCAGAAGTAGTAATTGTCTAACCCTAGCCCACATTTGGAGAGGCTTAAGCTCCACTTTCTAGAGCAGAAAGATATCTATAGAAGTTATTTAAAATTATTCAGTAAGAAAGACTTTACTGCCACTACATTTATGAAATTGTTCAATTATTTATTTATGTCATCCTGAACTCATGCTTATTTATCTTTTACTTTGGGTTGTATTTTGTTTATATTTTCAATATATTTTACTATTATGTGTCTTTAAAATATCTTTCTCACATTGTTTCCATTTTGGGCAGTCGTAGCTTTCAGGTTGGTTTCTGTGCCCACTTGACATTCACTTGACTTTTCTCTATGCCTTCGCTTTTGAAGAACTTTCTTACTTTATGGTACTAAAAGATACTCTAGATGCATCTTTTTTTTTTTTTCTACTGTAATAGGGTTTGACTATGTCCCCACCCAAATCTTGTCTTGAATTCCCATACGTTGTTGGAAGGACCTGGTGGGAGGTAATTGAATCATGGAGTCAGGTCTTTCTCATGCTGTTCTTATGATAGCGAATAAGTCTCAAGAGATCTGATGGTTTTAAAAAGAGGAGTTTTCCTCCCCAAGCTGTCTTTTCTGCTGCTATGTGAGATGTGCCTGTCACCTGCCATGATTGTGAGCCCTCTGCAGCCACATGGAGCTGTAAGTCCGATAAACCTCTTTCTTTTATAAATTACCTCTCCAGCCACATGGAACTGTAAGTCTAACAAACCTCTTTCTTTTGTAAATTGCCCAGTTTCAGGTATGTCTTCATCAGCAGTGTGAAAATGGAGTAATACATACTGTATGCTAGAATCAATTACTTCTCCAGTGAGTCATGGTTTCTTTTATTGAAGAATGGCATTTAGCGATAAAGATGTAGGCAGTGTGCTCATTGATACTGGGGCATCCATCAAAGCTAACCATGTATACTAGTTTGTCAGGGCTGTCATAACAGACTGATGGCTTAAACAGCAATAATTTATTTTCCTACAGTTTTGAGAAAATAAAAGTAGGCTAAAGGGCCAACATCGACATGTCAGTAGGTTTGGTTTCTCCTGAGAACTCTCTCCTTGGCTTCCAGATGATCGCCTTCTTTACTGTTTCCTCCTATGGTCTCCCCTCTGCATGCACATCCCTGTGGCCCAAATTTCCTCTTCTTATGATATGATTCAATCGGAGTGGGACTTGTTCTGATGGCTTCAGCAAGGTAGTGGAGGTTAAAACTTCAACATATGAACTTCAAGGGAACATAAATCATCCCAAAACACTATTTGCACACAGGTATCTATAGTTAAATTTGTATCTGTTCATTACTATGCATGTTTGTATACTATCTGAACCACCCTGATGCCTTCTTGAGTCCTTCCTTCCCTCATGCAAACTCACATCTGAGCTGAAAGTAAAAGTACTCAATAAGTGTCTTAGGTTAGAGTCCATGCTATAGACTACCTTAAATTTAGTAAATAACTTGATTAAAAGCTTAATGAATAATATTTACTGTCTGTATTTTTGTGATGCAGGGTATTCGGGAAAAATCTTTTTAAAAGTTTACACTTCTTTTACAAATTTTGTATTGATTATGTATGATTTACTTGCAAGTGTTGAGAACTTGAAATACTTATATTAATGATCCAAAGAGATTTATGTAAATATCAGGGTAATTCTTTGAACCCTCTGGAAGCATTTATTTAAAAATCTAAAGAAATAGAAAAACGGTGCTTTAAAATTTTTCCTGCATTTCTACTGAAAAGAGTCATTAGTAAGCTAATACTCTATGGAGTTTGGATAAATATTTTAATCACTATTATTCCAAGCTAGAGAAATGATTTAAAAACTAATTTAACTAAATAAATTTTATATTTTCCAAGGTTAGTCATTATGTGCTTAGTAAAATAATACCCTCGTCTAAATTTGTTTTTGCTAGTAAATTAAAAAAATGTAGTTTAAATTAATTCTCGTTTTTGATACAGATAATAGCTACATACAAAATCAGGAGGCAGGCCAACATTTGGTGTTTCCATTCCATCTTTGCATTTGCCTCCTTTTATCCCCTTTCAGACTCCCCACCTCCTCTGATGACCAGTGAACTTATATTTGTTCATCTCTACTTGAGAAACATTTCCTAAAGAAATATCTTGATAAAAAATTAATGCTTATGACTGAGGAGTACTAGGAATAGCATGTTATTCCCACTGCATTAGAAAACTGTGCTTTAAACAAACAAAAAAATGTTGGAAAGAAGTAGGGTTTCATTTTTTTTTTCTTTCTATGGCAGAAGTTGGTGAATAGAACCATATGTACTAGTTTAGTATATACTGTGATTAGTCACAATACTAGGTATTTTTCATATTCTTTTACATGGCCATGGTGAGTTGAACAGTGCCCCTCACAAATTAATGTCTATCCAAAACCTATTAATGTGACTTTACTTAGGAATAGGGTTTTTTGCATATATAATCAAATTAAGGTGAGTCCATATTGGAGGAAGGTGGGCCCTAAATTCAATATGAATGGTGTCCTTATAAAATGAAGGAAATTTAGACAAGGAGAAACAGGTATACAGAGATGAGAATGTCATATGATTATGGAGACAGAGACTGGAGTGAAACTAGTACAAGCCAAGAAACACCAAAAATTGCCAGCAATCCCCAAAAGGTAGAAGATGCATTTTGGTTATGACAGCTCTTAAAAACCAATGCAATGACTGTTTCGCCACCCCGACCAAAGAGGATTCAGAGATGGAAAACTTAGTTTTAAGATATTAAATCATATGTTATAAATTATATAACTTTGTAAGAAGTGAGACTGTAACTTAAACTGAAACTTAGTTTCGGAACAAATTTCATCTAGTAACACTGTCCAAGCTAGAGGACCTTTTGTAAAATATCCACGTTTATGATATAGAGAGAGCTAAATTTATTCCTAGAATTTTTCTGAATTTGCAGTTCACCCACCATACACATTCACACACACACACACACACACACACACACACACACACACACATATGCACTCTCAAACATATCACTTTATATTTAATAGATATAAATGGTTTAGCCTTATTAAAAGGCCAGCATTTATAATCACAAAGCAAATCATTAAGATAACCCAGAATATAAAAAGACTAACAATATATGACATCTGTAATAGATTTTTGGATGAAATAAACAGTTGCTATAAAAAGAAGGTAAGGTTACTGTCAAAATGAAGTTTTAAGTACATGGGAGCAGAGCTAATGTGTCTGATTCATGTTACTACATAATTGATTCCAGTGTATAGTGGATCAGTTGGCATTTCTGACCTTTTTAGGTAACAACTTTCTTGGTAAGAGGAAGAATAAAGAAAGGAAAATGTTTAAGCCAAAATTAAAGCAGTGACAAGCACTTTTGGTAAAATCTTGGTACAATCTGATAATGGTCTCAGAACAGTGCTTCTTATGTGTTAGGTACTCAGTAAGGCTGTTTGATAATTTAATGACTGAAGGCCATGTATCTTATGGAGTATCAAACTTTAAATTTAAAGAGGAGACTTTACTGTTTTATTGTTGGAAATTAATCCATGTATATGACTTCCACAGACATTTGCCTCCTGGTATGTTGTCTGTTCTTTTTTTGCTCCGATTTGCTCATGATATTTCTATGTATTATATAAAACTACTGATCTGAATGATCCATAGGGTTAAAACCATTTAGGCATCACTAAAATAAATGGGACACTGTTATTCTCTTGTTTATTTCATAATTGATCAAACAGCAGTTAACAAGAAATAGTCTCTACTGTATATTGAATTTTTGGATAGATTACAAGTGAAGAATGACATCAAGTAAGTTACAGCTACTACACAGATAAGAGATTGCAGAGTATTTCTTACCAGGGCAGTTTCCCTGTCTCCTCCTGTCCTTTCTTCATGTGTTCGAGGCTTGCTCCTGCTTGCCTCTCAGCTTTCCTGAGCGTCTCCATGCTTTAGGGTGCAGGACCTGCCCAAAGCCCAAGAGTTGATTGATTGTTTTTGTACTCCATTATGAGATTCTATTATGAGATGTGTCCTTTCTGTCTTTTTTAAAGATGCTCGTGAACATGATTGTACCTATAGAAAACATTATAGCAGACTGATTAAGAACTTAGTCCCTGGAGTCAAACAGACTGGATGTAAACTCTGAAAATTACTGGTTGTTTGCCTTTTCCTTATGTGTCACCTTTATACTCTATATTTCATTATCCTTATCTATAATCTAGAATAATATATTCAAGATGACTAAATCTGATATATTTCTTCAAGTACTTAGTTTAGACATATAGTAAGTATGCAAAAATCTTAGCTTTTTTATTCTTTTTCTTTAAAAGTATCTCCACATTCTTACACACATAGCCTCTACTACCTATGCAATAAGACAATTATGCAATAAATTGACAAAACATTGCTCCATGTTAGGGCTGTGAAGTCTAAAATAACATCATAACGTGTCATCACTGCGATCACTGGAACTGGACAAATATTAGTTCATTTTCTGTTGAGCTTCACTCATCAAGTGGCTAAAAATCATGGAATTCAGCATCTGATAAATTCAATTATAGTTGTTTTAGAAAATAAAATAAAATAAAACATAAACTCTATAAGATGAGAAGTGAAATGATCATGATTTACTACAATAATGTGACTGAATTACCATAAATATATCAGAAGTTTCTCAAGAAAAGCATATAAGCGGATTGGTAAGAAGTTGATGCAGAGAGTGAAGCTGATGCACATAGGTGTGCAGAGAAAAAGAAAATTAATATTGAAGTTTCAGTTATTTACATGATGTTTTCACAAATAGTATTTCATACAAATATTACAAAAATCTTGTAAATTAGCAAATATAATTTTTCTAAGGTAGAGATAGGGAATTTGGCTTAGCAAAGTTGTGCATACCACATAGATAATAAAGAAAGGATTGTAATTTAAACATAACTTTCTATGACGCCAAGACACATGCTGGAAATTTTAAAAGGAAAAAAACACATTGTTGTAAATAAGGGAGTAAAATGGCTGAGGCTTCTAGAAAGACAAAGTTTTTCCAAGGCTTAAGTACATAAAATCCCATGGACGGTAAGTACTGAAGATTTCTGTCAATAATATTAGGGGATATGTCAGTAAAATGGTAAGGATATTTAGAAGGGGTATCAATATAATTATTTTTTGAGGAGAGATGGGCACAAAAAGAGAAATATTTAAGGATTTTGAGGAAAGAAAGAAAGTTAATGAGTATTGTGAGTTTTTGTGGGGATGGCAAAATGGAAGTCTCAAAGATTAGTTACAGAAACACTCTCAGTGATAATAACACTATATTAAAAGCATGGAATTGTGGAGTGGCATGATATATTCACAGAAGTATAAGAATTTTGCTATTACTGTAATAAAAAAGTATGAAAAAAACACTATGACATTGGGGATAACTTTTAACGACATGTTAATCCTGAATATAAAAATGTATTATTTATGTGTTTAGAATGATCATTCGATTTGGGATCATTGATGATTCATCCTTAAATCTATTTATAGAATTAGTCAGCTTGTTCTTATTTTTTGTTTATGAGCAAACAGTATTGCTACAGAATTCTGAATGACTCTTTGAGTCATGCTTAAAACAAATAGGCTAGAAATTTAGCAATCAGATTAGGTAGACAATTTTATTTCTTTAAGGGAAACTTTTCTATTAATCCAAAGTAAATTAACTATTGTAACAAGAAAAGCATCGTGTTTGATGCTACGGAGTTAAAACTACCTGAAATTTTACT